CATCATAATCAGCCTCTCATTTATGTCACATAATAAAATGTTCACTTTGTCTGATTTTGTTGCAGCATGCCCCATATGCAAATAAAACAAACGGTGATGCATCACCATGTGACCACTTCATATTCAATGTCACTCGTCAATGCGGTCAACGCGATACTTACGCACCATCCCCAGTATGTCAAGTCGCGATATATATTTCGATGACCTCACGCAATGTTCACTACTCGGCTTCCTAAGGCACAAGCGCCCAACAGATAAAACTAAGGCCCATAGTCTGTATAAAGGAACCCTTTCTGCTATCGCTGCAGACGTCCACGAGAAACCTGAACGAAAAGCGGCCGCGCTTGCTTGTCTTAAAACCTTTAAGGAAAGTTTTCTCTGATTGATTAAGCTCTAGTTATGTGAAGCGAAATAAGTTTGCCCATTGACGCACCTATCCTTGATACCTCTGTGTTGACGGGGGAATTGCCTCTGTGCTGGTGTAGATTCACGCTATCCCAGATACCTCTGTGTAGATGGGGGAATTGCCTCTGTGCTGTGTGTATCACTTTGGCATGGACTTCCATCGTGGAGTTTTTGCTGGTTGCTATTGACACTAACAAAACTTGCTCTAATGTAGAAAGAGGTCAAAATGCAGGGCGTGAAGCAATATTGGGTAGCTATAACAACGGATGGTCTGGAAGGCCAAATTCAGCTTGAGAAGGTCTGTATTTCATTTGTAACACTTCATCTGTTAGGATGATGTTAAAGTCTATGTATTTTAGGTGCAGCATATCCTAGATATAACCAAGGAGGCACGGGCTCAAGGGCAATTGCTGCATGAAACAATTACGAAAAATCTAGAAAAACATAAATTAGATGACCTGAACAGTGATAATGAGGAGGAAGGAACCAGAACCCCTACCCCACAGATGCAGCAAGACTTGTCTGGAAACCTGTTTGGAAAAAGGAGTGCTGATGTCTTGGATGGCAGCTGCAGTTGGAGGGGTTTGTGCTGGGTGCACCAACGAGTGATGGGTTCACTGTCTCCTTTTTTCAGTCCCAGAGATGAGGCAGAGGCGGAAGGAGATGATGAGGAAGAGGTGGAGGAAGAGGATGATGAAAGTCCCATCCCCATGCCATTGCTAGTGGACATACCATCTAACTATGAACTGGTTATGGTGCCACCTGCCAGCTGTGTTCTTGCAGATGGTTTTGACATTGCCAAGGTCTTCTTTGAATATCAACAGCATGCACTGGGCTTGGCAAGGCATCACAAGCTGCAGCTGGAGTCCAATGTGCAGGAGATCCTTGCACTGTCACACATGCTGCTTATCAAACCAGAGCAGCATACCCCAGAGATGCTGTGCCACTTTGAAGAAAAACACCTCAACCACATCCACACGATTGGGCTGGAGACAGTAGATTATCAGTCCCGTCCTCTCTCACAAGACCTTGAAGCCTTGGTGCGAAGTGTTTCCAAGCAGGCTCGAGCATCAAGGAAATTTGACCAAGCTCTGCAGACTGAACTCCTGACAAAAATCATGGATAAAGAGCCGGGGTCGACAGATGCATTGATCCTGTATTTGTGGCTAGATGTCATGAGAAAGTTTCCTGCTAAGCCAATGAACTTGGAACGAGAATTGGAAGGAGATCTGGTAACCTCCTACCTGGCTCCTGTGATCAATCCCTTTGTCACATCTGGCAAGCAAACACGTGCAGTTTGGCTCAACACTGCATCCACCATTGCACACAAGCAGAAAACAGTAAGACATGTATGTCAGCCAGACTTCAAATTGGCCTATATACATCAATGCCAGGAAGTAGCTGAATGTGGCTATGGGGAGGTGAAACCAGATCTGAAGGTAGCTGATACCTTTGCATGCAACCTGGATCTCATACGGATTGCAAAGTTTGGTAAAGCATGTCTGGATGACATTGTGAAGAAGGGGGTGAAAGGGCCAGTCATTCCCCTCTTTCAAGTAACAGGGCAGAAGATGTGTATGTATTCCTTCTCCCTGTTTGCAGATGGCATCTATCTGATGCTGGAGACGGGATGTGTGTCTCTGCCAATGGCAGTTAGTGAGCTGCTGCCGTTTGTTGATGACCTTGAGCATTTATTGGGATTCCGGGAACTCTGCTCCAATATTATCAATTACCTGTCTGGGAAGAAGGTGGCAAATGATGACTAAAATAAGTGGCAAAGTACCTCTGGAAGACTCTGACAACACCACAGTTTGAGCAGGTGGTCAATAAGACCAAATCCCATAAGAGAAAGTCCACTATTCGGCATAATTAAGAGGGCCTTCTTTGTAATAGAGTTTTTGACAAATTTTTTGTTCTTTCACTTGTGTTACAGTCGGGAATTAAATTGGGGGTTTTGGGAGAGCGATTTATCTTTTCGTGTAGGTGTGTTCGCCGACCGGGGGATGTTA